CCCGAGGAACACCTAAGGGTTAAGCAATGAAACATTTCATGAGATCTACAGATGTGTTGCGTTGTTTGAACAAACAACTCACCCATTTGTCAAATGATCAATATTATGAATCTCTTTAAAAGTATATGGTCATCTTAAATACACCAACACATATAATTATCCTAAGAGTAGCTGCACTTGCCAATGTAAGCTAACCAGAAGTTGAACCAACCAGTCATCCCAAAGTTCACTGGTCATACAGTCAGTAATTAGGAGTTGGAAGTGGGCGGTGCATGAGTGAAGACTGGGCTGTGGGCAGGAGATCAGTGGAGCTGTGCTGTGATAAAAACACATGAATAAGGTGGTTGAACTGGGATAAGAAGACTGGGCTGTGGAAGCCCAGCAGTGTTTCTGATAACATCAGCCCCCCTTCTTCCCCACTGGAGCAGCTTCCCTCAGGAAGGTCAAAGGTTCACACACACACACACACACATACACACACACACAAAGAAGGAGACTTGGCTTGCCTCCCCCAGAGTGTTTCCCGGTAGCTCGGAGCGGTGGAAGGGAACAAAGCCCAGCCATTGTATGTTGTGTGCACCTTGTGGACCCACAAGTCTGTGTGTTGCTGCAGAGTGAATATACACAGCCCACTCTTGGGCAAAGGCTTTTCTAATTAGGCTTTACAGAGTGTGGCTTTTGAAATGATGATATTTGTTAGTGGATTAAAGCTGTCAAATAAGAGATTTAAAATGTAAAATTCATTTTGTGTGGAACACTAATCAGAAGTCATATGACAATTGCAATATGTTGCAATAATTGCAGTGGGATGTTTCCACCATATTGTGCAGCCCTACTTTTGTTGCTGTTGCTCTGAAGTTCCTGCAGTATGTATAAAGCTTGCTGGTGAAGAAGACATGTTCCCTGCTTTCAAGAGCAGTACTGAGGGGGAGATGCATTGTTTAGTAGAGTTGTCATTCCAAAATGCTCACCGTCAGGGTACCACAATGGGGTTTTACAGTGACATAGGGCTGCAACTAACTGATTATCTGATTTTTTCAATTAACTGATTAATCGTTTAGTCTATATAACAACACTTAGAATTTCCTAGAGCCCACCCCTAATCTGTTAACATGCTCATTTTATCCATCCACCAGTCCAAAACCTGAAGCTTTTTACTCATATCATGATGTATTACAGGGAGAAGCATCATTTTAGAAGCTGGAAGCAGCAAATGTTTGGTGTCTTTGCTTGACTGAAGCAGGGTTGACAATGAATATGTTAAATGGTCAGCTCTAAATCTGTAAATGTATTGAACTGTAAATGACCTACAGTACTGTATTTTGCATCCTCCATTTTTCTGTGCTTTGTTCTCTGAGTGGAAAATGATGAGCCTGCAGTGGAAATGATTAATGAGAGCTTCAGTGAGCATTGTGTCTGCAAATTCAGGAGGTTTATCTGGCTGCTGCTGATCAGAGACCTGTTTAGAGTCAAATCAGGTTCAGATCCATCAGGTGATAGATGATGTGTGGTAACATTTGTTAAGTCCTATACGCTTCAATTAAAGTGCTTGTCAGGTCATCTACAGAATGCGGGTAGTGTGGTCATTTGGTCAACGTGTTTTTCTGCCTGGTATATAATAGCCCGTCCATTGGTTATTGGTTTTCAACAGAGACACAACTTATACATTTTTTGTCACTAACAGAGTTAGATAAAAGTAAAGAAAATAAAAACAAAAAATAAAAAATGTATATATTGCCGTCAATCTATTCTTAGCAGGAAAATGTCCCAGTCTACTGCCCCCCCTTCACCTTTACATACAGGAGCCTCTCTCCATATTGCTCTGCACACACACACATTGTCCATTAGTGTAGCACCCCGTCCATTTCTGATCCTTTATGTATTTGCTCTAGGACTTTCCGTTTTAAAAATGCCTCATTGCTCTCCATTAAAACACTGAAACCACAGAGCATTGTGAGAGTGAGTGAAGTGTACAACACACAAAATGAAAAGAGAAAAGAATAGAGCCAGCAGGCCTGCGAGTCATACAAGCAGAGATTGGGTTCAAAAGCAATAAAAGAAGGATCCTTTGCTTGTATTTCAGGAACTTTTTGCAGCTGCACCACACCTTGTACTTAGGTAGGTGAAAACTGCATTTGAATTCAAGCATTGTGGTCATGCTGTCCATATCCAAGTCCAGACCTTCCTGCCCAGCACATCCACACTGTGGCTCCTCTTCATGGATTCTAATTGCTTTTCTACCTACCTAAAGCTAAGTGAACTCTGTCGAAAATGTAGAAAACAAAGAATAAAAACAAACGGATACTCAATATTAAAGGACTCAGATTGGGATTGGGACATAGTAATAAACTATATATTGAATTCCTACTTTATTAAAAAGGGATTGTTGGGACCCACAAAAGCTCATGTAAGTGCAGTTTTTAATTTGTTGTGTAGCAGAAGCAATGGAAATGTTGTTGCGTGGGCACAAAGTTAATAAATTGAGCTCCAGTCTCGTATGACCTCTGGGGATGTAAGAGACAAGAGCTTGTTGTTGAGAGCTGGAGGGGAGCTGGACAGCCAGCACTCACACTCATGCCACAACTGAGAAGGCCAGCAGCTGACTTTAGAGAAATAATGAATGAGGGAAGGAGCGCTATGTGTATGTGTGTGTCTAAGGGGAGGGATATTGCCATGCCATGTTCCTATAAAGTGGCTCACAGAACCCATGTTGGCCTTTCATCAAATATCGAACTCCTTCTCTTTTCCCACATTGTGCTATTGCATGGATTAAATGTGGAAAGGCTTAATTATTCTCCGTCAGTGTACTCAGCCAGGGGTTCAATCTGAAAAACATTTCTTGCCTGCAAATGTAAGTGAAATAGCTCATTGTCCAGGGTGATTTCAAGTCATTTAGTCGGGCTTGTGTGTGTTTGTGTAGTTTAGGTTGAGCAGTTTTAAGTTCATGACGGTAGCTCTGTCATTGTCATTATCCAGACTGTTTAAAACACCAGTAAAACCCAGTGTCTGCAGTCAAACACCCTACATTCCTGTTTATTTCCTGCTGCTTTTCAGCCACAAATACCCAGGAAAAGTCAAGCTGTTGCTAAGGACGGCCTCAGCTGAGTCTTTGCAGGAACTCAACCCATATAGGTTAAAGGTGGCCCGGAAGACTTTGTAGCTTTCTCCGTTCTGAAAGACAACAGCTGGGGTTAGCTTGGTTTCAAACTGTGAACCGGTCTCATGGCTCCAGCTCTGTACATTATGGCTTGGACTAGAGGGACAGGGCTTTTACCCCAGAACCTCATCACCAGGGCACCTCCTTTGGATGCTAGCAGATAGCTAGTAGCTAGCAAATGCTATTTCCTCCTTTCTCCCGTTTTGTGATTTTCTACGGTTTGGTTAAGTGATTGTGATCCAAACTTGGTGCTGATTTGAGGCTAACCCTTTGTGAACTTTCTCTCTGAACACTTCTCTGGTTCAGACTCAAACATGGGGGGAAATATTGGATGGATTGCCTTCAGATTTGGTTTAGACATTCATGTCCATCACAGGAGGAATTTTGAAGATCCCTTCATTTTTAATTTAGTGTCATCAGGTCACTTTAAATTAAAATCTTAGTTTACGATCACATAGTGATCGTATCACATTTGAGTGTGACCGGCTGATGATTGGCTCTGTTCTGCCTTAAGTCCCGCCTCTCTTGGTGTGTTAGATTTATCGTTCAGCTCGTGCTGAGGAGGCGGGAACTAGCTAGGTTCATAGTTCATATGAAGCCCGAAGTTGTCAATATTGATAATAGGCATCTGCTTCATCTCTTTTGCACTTTTTGTTTACAAAGGTCCTAACTGGCAGGTTTGCCTGTTAAGGAATGTATCACTCTTTATGTCTGAGTGCAATTTTGTCTACATCCATTTTATTCATTGTTTTGGTTGTGTGTGGTTTTTATTCCAGTGCATTTTTTGTTAACTGAGAGTAACATTTTATTTATTTTTTTGGTTGTTTTTTGTTTCCATTTCTTGTGATATTTAAAATGTCAGTTCCAGTATTACATATTGTTTAGAAATAAAAGCTTATTGATCTTTGAAAAGCTGTACCTGCATTATTATGCCATTATCATTATATTAGATGAAAATGGTCTCGGAACGACAATATTATCGTTTATCGCAATAATTTCTGGGACAATTTATCGTCCAGCAAAATTTGTTATCGTGACAGGCCTAGATGGAGCCTGTTGGTTTGAGTCTGTTGGTATAATGGCTGAAGGGAAGCAGATCAAGAATCACCTCTGTACTAGACTCACTGCAATAACTAGAATCTCACACCCACCAGTTTCAATAAATATAATGTCCTGTGCATAAATATGTGCACAGGGATTCATCACAGCTGCATTGTTAACCCTGTAATCAGAAAAAGTAGTTCGGTAACAAAGCAACTTGGCCATTACCTTTAAGCCTCCACAAAGAACATGTCACAAGTACGGAAGGTGTAAGAGCTTAAAGCACCCCTGGGTCCAGTAAATTTTAACATCATTGTAGCCTGAAGAAAACAGGTCAACATGACCTCAATACCCGTGAATTGTCCACTTGACAGCAAGGCTTATAGTTAATGCAATGGGGAAAGTAACCACAGTACATAACAATTACACTAAATACAACAGCTTTAAACACTCGCTCCTTTAAACCTGAACTCCATTTAACTGTCACATTGACAGCAGCAAAAAAAGGTTTCTGCAGGGATGTCAATGACACACAGGTATGCATGTGACACCCCCCCACCCAGCCATACACAGGTTTTTTTTGTTTGCCTACATCATTTCTTTTTGTAAAAAAAAAAAGAACCCATCAGATTTTCTGCCAGCTCAAGTCAATCAACTCATTTGACTCCCCCTAATATGCTGCTACACACATTAACCCTCTAAATCTCAGTCTATCCTCCTCCTCTCTTCTTCGTGATTTTTTTCTTTCCCTGTGCTCTGGGTGAAAAGCAGCCTCCCTCCTCTCTCCATGATCTCTCCTCCCCTCCTTTTTATCTCACTTGTTTCATTCCAAACTTTATTTTGATAACAGAATTCTTCCTCCCTAACCAAGTTGGGTCTCCAAAATTTTTACAATGCTTACTCGCCAGTTATTTTATGGCTGAGCAATTAAATGAAAATATGAAACACCCAAAGTAGTTTCTGCCTTGAGTCTGTGTGAGAAAAGTTCAAATAAAGCAATCCAAGCAGCGTATCTTTTTACACTCGTCACTCCTCCTACCAAATGTCATCTATAGAACCTCTTGTCTGCGCTTCCAACGGCCTTCTACAAAACTGTAAAACAATTTTAAAAACATTTACAATGTCAAGTGTCTGTTTTCATTCATGTCTTGGTCTGATAATGTGAAGCTTTCAGAGTGTGTTGATTTAACTGCCCAATGTGGGATATCCAACGCTCTATTAAAACTGAACTCAGGGAAATCCCTGAAGCTCTATCCAGCTTTTCTTCCCCTCCACACTTAATCTTTTCATCCGCCTCTCCTGCTACCCCCATCAAACAACTTTCCTCCTCTGTCTGTCCTCCATCATCCATCACCGCCTCCTCCTACCATCTCTGGCTCTGTGTCAGTGGTGGAGTCAAGGCCCATCTGTCCTCCCCTCTCACTGAGCTGTTAGACCATGTTCACCACCCTAATTAACTTCCTGTCTTATCAGTTTCGCTTTGTGTGCGTGCATACCGGCCTCTGACGCATGGTGGAAAATTAACACCAGTAATCAGATGAATCCTGGTTAATTTAGTCTAAAGAAATTAACATTCAAAAAACATTTCAAGATCATATTCTAATGTTAAAACAACAAAGTCGGAAGTAAGCAGCTTCTTATTGCATGTGCACAAGCATTTTCTGGTATGTTTCCTGTACAAGTGTGTAATGATATCATCATATTATAGAGTGTGTCCATAATACTCCTTTTTTAATTTAATGCAAGTTTTCTGCCAGCGGAGGACAGAGGGTTGTCAGTTTTATTAGTGTCTCTCAGACAAGAAAAAGCTGTGTGCCCTGCTCCTCATTAGGAGTTGATAACACAGACAGACAGACAGAC